AGTGGACTCAAAGGAGGGGTCAGTGACGACAGTAGCAAGGAGACGCGTGACAATAGGACTGGCACCACGAAGAGAGTCCGACGCAGGGTCGGCAAGCGTAGGAAGAGAGGACTCAGGAGGAGAGGGCAAAGGGGCACGCAGAGGAGCAGTGGACGGACGCAGAGACATCCGGTGCGTGCCAGGGACAGGAGGAGGACGCTGACGCGAACTGCGACCACTAGTGCGAGCAGCACGAACAGGCGACGCAGGACGAGACGCAGGCTCATGACGCTCAGCAAGACCTCCAGTAGGACCAGTGTACGGAGAAGGAGAAGGCAGTGGGGAGGCCGGCGGTAACTGTGACTGCGAATGGACTGGTGGTGGACACTCTAAGGGAGGAGGAAGACCAAGAAGCTGCTGAAGGAGCGGAACAAAGTACGGCCGAGGCCGCGCGGCGACTCCAGACACAGCAGGGACAGCACCTGCACCCCCAGGGGCACCACCAGCGTCAACAGCACCTCCAGCTCCAGCACCTCCAGCAGCACCAGCAGCACCCGCAGCAGGACCGCCGCCAAGACTGACAGCAGTAGCCTCAGTGCCAACACCCTCAGCAGCTCCGACTCCAGTAGCACTCGCAGGACTAGCACCTCCGAGACCGGCGGCACCAGCACCCTCAGAAGTCGAAGAAGCACCAGCTCCAGTAGTACGCCTCCAGCGCCGGGCAAACCACTCGTGCAGCTCCAGTGGAGAGAGTGGCTCCCGCCGAGACGAAGCACCCGGAGAACCACCAGGCCCAGCACCGCCAGACGCCACACGAGCAGGTCCAGCGGCCGCGGGCTCCGCACCCCCAGGCTCAGTAGCTCTAGACTCAGCACCCCCAGGCGAAGGACCCCCAGGCTCAGAACCCCCAGTCGTAGCACCCCCAGGCTTAGCACCCCCAGGCTCAGCACCCCCAGTCGCAGCACCCCAAGAGTCACCAGCAACCTCGACCGGCTCGACTACATCTACCTGGGAGACACCTGAAGGGGCAGGACCCTGAGGGGGGAGGGGGTCTACCGGGGGGGGACCTGGCAAAAGGAAGTGCGGTGGCGGGGGGAGGGAAGGAGTGCGGTAGGGGAAGAGGCGGTAGTAGGGTACTGACTCATCGAACGTGACGTCCTGGGAGGACAGAACACGACGAGAGGTGGGGTGGTAGAACTGCCACCCAGGGGCGTCAGGGGGGAAGCCAAGGAAGACACAGGGAGCAGCACGAGGGGACAGCTTGTCCGTAGACAAGTCGCGGACAAACGCCCGAGATCCCCCGACACGGAACGCAGACGCATCGCCGACCTTCCCCGTCCACAGCAAGGCTGGGGAGGTCTCCAGCCTGGAGACCCTGGGGTGAAGGTTGATCTGATGCGCCGCGTACCGAACCGCAAACGGCCACAGAAAATGGGAGGCAGCTGCATGCATCATGGACGTACGAGCGACGTCCATGACCATGCCAATGCGGCGCTCAGCAATCCCATTTTGCTGTGGAGAGTCCGGAAGCGTAAAGGTCTGGCGGATGCCTCGCGCACGACAGTAGGCTCGTAGAAGGCCAGAGGAGAAGTCTCCGCCTCGGTCAGAGTGCAGACGCAGAACAGGAAAGTCCGAGCCGAAGCTCCTCCTGAGCTGGAGACGAGCTGCGCGGATCCAGTCGATCAACACCTCAGTGACATCACCCTTGCTGCGCAAGGGGAAGACTGTGGTGTAACGCGAGTAGTCGTCAACCACCAGCAGGAAGTAGCGCTCGTGACCCTGTCCACGTACGCGGGCCGGGCCCCACACGTCCATGTGAAGCGTCTGCAGTGGGGCCTCTATCGGGGGAAACTGAGAGGAGTGAGGGGCAGCTCAAAGCCGCCCCTCGACACAGGGGACACAGGAAGGACCAGGCCCCGGAGGAAGGGGAGGGAGGGACCGGGGAAGACCAGAGACAAGGACACGGGAAGCCATGCCTCGGAGACGAGGCAGGGAGGGGTGACCAAGACGGTGGTGCCAGAGGAGAGTCTCGTGAGACAGGAGGCGACACGAGCAGGGGGCAGACTCAAGACCAGACCTGGACGCTGCAGCAAACACCTAACCCGACGCAGCTACCTGACCAGACGCAGTGACTGGAGGAGACGCAGTGGTCAGTGTGTACAGGCTCGACCCCGGCCGACGTGTAAACGTGGCCAGGTGTCGGCCTGTCCGAGCGTCCGTGCAGTGGGTCACCCCCTGACTCGTAGGAGTGAACTGGTGAACCCCCGTATCCTGCAGGTCAGCACCACTCACCAAGTTCGTAGAGAACGAGGGGAGGTAAAGACCAGAGAGGGTGCCAGAGGGGGCAGTCGGACACGGGAGGACAGTGGAGAAGTGAGAGAGGACAGAACCCCCAGAGGGGTCTGCCAGGGAGACTGCAACTGGCCGACCAAGCGGCGTGAGTGTGGTGCGGTCTCGAAAGAAGGAGCGAGAAGCCCCTAAGTCAAGTGTGAAGGTGAGGGAGGCCGAAGCCGACGTGGTACCTGAGAGCACAGACTCACCAGCACCTGAGGGCGCGGACGCACTGGCACCTAGAGCAGCAGCCTCACCAGTACCTAGAGCAGCAGTACCAATGCCCGGGTCGGGCGGGAAACACCGGAAACAGTCACCCTCATCACTAATAGTCACAGCATATATGGCAGGAAGGATAGCATCAAAGTCAAGGTCAAAGATAGCTACGCCTGCCCTAGACAGCTCTCCCCAGCGGGGGATCTCACTAGCCTCCGGAAACTGCTGACGCCAAGCGTCCGTCAGGCGGCCAAAGCAGCGCTGGGTGGGGTGAGCACCCCCACACTGCTCACCCGCGCGGTCGCCGGAGCGAAGGACGTAGGTGCACGGGCCAAAACCCCCACCACGCTGACGCTGCGTGTACCACTCACGGAGCTGCTGAGGAGGGGGGATGTCCCGAGAACGCTGCTGCTGCTGCTGTTGGCGCTGACCACTCCCGGAGCCGCTCCGCTGAGAAGAACCACCCCGACCAGCTCCACCTCCTCCACCACCGCCGCCTCCACCTCCGCCGCCACCGCCGCCTTAGCTCCCACCGCTATCGCCACCGCCGCCTCCGCCTCCGCCGCTGCCACCGCCACCTCCACCCTCGCCACCACTCCCACCGCCACTCCCACTCCCCCCGCCGCCCCCATCGCCACCTCCACCACTCCCGCTAGCCCCACCCGCGCCCTTTTCCCCCTTGCCCTTGCCAGAGCGGCGTCTCCCGCTAGGGGCAGACGCCGCACCGACCGACTCAAGACCAACGAGGTCGGCCGCAGCAGCAGAGGCGACAGAGGGCAACAGGGGGGAAGGGGAACACCCCTCAAAGATGGGGGTGCGAGGGTCACCACGAGAGGCTCCTACAGCGACTATGCTCTTCTCCGCCGCTAGGAGGGCCTTCTCTAGGAGGTCAACAGTGAGAGTGGTGGGACAGACTGAGAGGAAGTGGTCCCTGACTACACGAAGGGAGTCAGGGAGGCGGGTGACTAAATAATAGAGAGTGATGTACATGGGGGGGGGGTTCTTGGCGCAGAGCTCAGCAGGAAGCGCGGCGCGGTAGCGAGTGTCACTAGTGCGGAGGTGCGTAATGAGGTCAGCGTCTGTGGGAAAGGCAGCAAGGTCAGGAAAGAGGTACGGTAGCATGAGGCGGCTCAGTGCAGCAGTGGTAGGGGAGGAGTAGCGTGCAACGACAGCGTCGTACAAGGTCCGAGCACTCTTGTACTGGCTAAAGTGCGCGCGCTCAGTGGTAGGCAGGTGGCGACGCACAGCAAGACGTGCAGCACCATCGCGAATGGCCCACTGGGAGCGAACAGTGGCATCGGCATCGGCAGCAGAGGCAGGGGAAGCACCAGAGGTGAGGTCAAAGAGGGAAAGACTGTCTGCCCTATCGCACTGTAGGAAAAGCTGCAGGTCATCCACCCAAACCTCAAAGTCAATGGCTCGACCCTCAGCGTCAAAAGCGAGAACACTGGGGGTAGCCACGACAACAGTGGACTAGCAGTACCAACTGTAGGACAAGGGCAGTGCAGTGACAGAAGCGCTTCTCTCACAGGGCAGGGCGGGTCGGGCAGCTTAGCGGTACAGCAGCACGGCAACACGGCTGCTCGGACGGCACTGCAGCAACTGCGGCTCCGTGGCACCAGCGGCTCGGCTCCTCAGGCGGCTCGGGCAGCTCAGGCGGCTCGGGTGGCTCGGGCGGCTCGGGCTGGTCGGGCGGCTCGGGCGGCTCAGGAGAGTCGGGCGGCTCGGGCGGCTCGGGCAGCTCGGGCAGGTTGGGCGGCTCGGGAGGCTCGGGCGGTTCGGGCGGCTCGGGCGGCGCGGGCGGTGTAGGGCGGCAGGGCCGCTGGTGCGAGGGGCGGCTGGGCCGCTGAGAAGGGCGGCGAGGCCGCTGCGGAAGGGCGGTGGGGCTGCTGAGTAGGGCGGCGGAGCCGCTGAGCAGGGCGGGGGGGGCCGCTGAGGAGAAGGGCGGCGGGGCCGCTGAGTAGGGCGGCGGGGCCGCTGAGGAGAAGGGCGGCGGGGCCGCTGAGGAGAAGGGCGGCGGGGCCGCTGAGGAGAAGGGCGGCGGGGCCGCTGAGTAGGGCGGCGGGGCTGCTGAGGAGAAGGGCGGCGGGGCCGCTGAGTAGGGCGGCGGGGCCGCTGAGGAGAAGGGCGGCGGGGCCGCTGAGTAGGGCGGCGGGGCTGCTGAGGAGAAGGGCGGCGGGGCCGCTGAGTAGGGCGGCGGGGCCGCTGAGGAGAAGGGCGGCGGGGCCGCTGAGTAGGGCGGCGGGGCCGCTGAGCAGGGCGGCGGGGCCGTTGAGGAGAAGGGCGGCGGGGCCGCTGAGTAGGGGCGGGGCCGCAGCGACGGGCGGCGAGGCCGCGGAGACGGGCGGCGGGGCCGCGATGCGGGGCGACGGGGCCGCTGTGACGGGCGGCAGGGCCGCACTAAAGGGCGGCGGGGCCGAAACGAAGGGCGGCGGGGCCGCTAGGGGAAGAGGCCGCTAGGGCGTAGGGGGCCGCTAGGGCGGCTCGACGAGGTGAGAGCCTGGAGCGCGACTCGGGCGGAGCGCGCTTCGGGCAGGAGAAAAAAAAAAATGAAACTCGATGTGGTGGGCCCTAGGCACAGTTCCTAAGGGGGAACCTGCTCGATACCATGAGAAAGGTAGAACGAGAATGGAATGACTAAGGAATGGAAGTGATACAAATATGCAACCCTAGAAATGTGTACCCCATATAGGCTACCCCACTATAGCCTACACAGTATTATAATTTGACAACCCCCACCCCCTCCGCCGCCTCCACCGCCACCACCACCGCCACCTCCACCGCCCCCGCCAGCTCCTTCAGCGCCCTTACCCCCCTTGCCCTTGCCGTTGCGGCGTCTCCCGCTAGGGGCAGACGCAGCGCCGACCGACTCGGTGCCAACGAGGTCGACCGCAGCAACAGAGGCAACAGAGGGCAAAAGGGGGGAGGGGGAGCACCCCTCAAAGAAGGGGGCACGAGGGTCACCACGAGAGGCTCCTATAGCGACTATACTCTTCTCTGCTGCCAGGAGGCGCTCCTCGAGGAGGTCAACGGTGAGTGTGGTGGGGCAAACAGAGAGGAAGTGGTCTCTGACCGAGCGAAGGGAGTCAGGGAGCCGGGTGACTATGTAGTAGAGGGTGATGTACATGGGGGGGGGGTTCTTGGCGCAGAACTCAGCAGGAAGTGCAGCGCGGTAGCGGGTGTCACTAGTGCGAAGGTGCGTAATGAGGTCAGCGACTGTGGGAAAGGCGGCGAGGTCAGGGAACAGGTACGGCAGCATGAGGCGACTAAGGGCAGCAGTGGCAGGGGAAGAGTAGCGTGCAACTACAGCGTTGTACAAGGTCTTAGCACTCTTGTACTGACTAAAGTGCGCGCGCTCAGTGGACGGCAGGTGACTACGCACAGCAAGACAGGCAGCGGCATTGCGTGTGGCCCACTGTGAGCGAACAGTACTGTCAGTATCGGCAGTAGGGGCAGCAGAGGTGCCAGACGTGAGATTGAATAGTGAGAGACCATCTTTTCTATCGCACTGCAGGAAAAGCTGCAGATCATCGACCCAGACCTCAAAGTCGACAGCCCGACCCTCAGCATCAAAGGTGAAAACATTTGGGGTAGCCATAACAGCAGCAGCAGCAGGCTAGCAGCAGCAGCGGCAGGCTAGCAGCAGCAGCAGCAGCAGGCTAGCAGCAGGAGCGGCAGGCTGGCAGCAGCACCACCAGGAGCGGCGCGGCTCGGCGGTGCTCTTACCAGGGGCGGGTGGGTAGAGGTCCGCAAGCGGTGGGGCAAGGCCGAGGTGCGCCGGCAGGAACAGGGCCGCGACAGGGCGGCAGAGGAGGGCCGCGCCTCGGCTACAGGGTAGGGCCGGGACGGCGGCGGCGGCGGCTGTCATGGCAGTGGGAGCGGCAGTTGTCCCAGCAGGAGCGGCGGCGGCTGTCACGGCAGCAGCGGCGGCGGCGACCGGGCGTAGAGGAAGCAGCAGCGGCAGCAGGCGCGACGGCAGCTGCTGCTGGGGCGGCGACGACGGGGCGGTAGGGCCGTGAAGAGCCGGGGAGGGGCCGCTAAGGGGCCGCGACGAGCCGCGAAGGAGCCGCGGAGGGGCCGTGAAGGAGCCGCGAAGGGCCGCGAAGGGCCGCGGAGGGGCCGCAAAGGGGGCCGCGAAGGGCGGTGAAGGGGTCGAGAAGGGGCCGCGAGGCGCCGCGAAGGGGCCGGGAGGGGCCGCGAGGGGCCGCGAATGGGCCGCAAAGGGCCGTGAGAGGGGCCTAGAAGGGCCGCGAAGGGGCCGCGAAGGAGTCGCGAAGGGGCCGCGAAGGGCCGTGAGAGGGGCCGTGAAGGGGCCTTTAGAGGGCGCGACGGGCCGCTAAGGGCAGGGGACGCGACGGGAGGGCAGGCGCACGGGGCGCGACTAGGGCAGGCGCGAAGCGCGCTCCGGGCAGGTAAGGAAAAACAAAAATCGTTTTAGTGGTGGGCCCTAGGAAACGTTCCCACTAGGGAACCTGCTCTATACCATGTGAAATAACGAGGAATGATTGAACTAGGAAAATGTGCGATACAAATGTGAAACCCTAGAAACCTGTACCCCTTAGTGTTTACCCCACTAGAGCCTACAAACACTATGTCATATATGACAAGATGTGAGCGAAGGCATGAGCAAACATTTATATGCGAACATGCAAACGGTAACGCGGTGCGTGCGAGCTAGCTAGTGCTACGCTGGCAGCGAGGCTCGGGCTAGTCCCGAAGCGTAGGCCGACACGGCCGGGCCAGCAGTGCGAGGTTTGGCAAAACAGTGCGTGCGAAGTTGGCGAAGTCCCGTTAGCAGTAACGAGCAAACAACGGCTATTGCTGTACGCGATGTATTCGGGCTTCGTAAGGAATGCCGAGAAAATTCCTTACAGAACTGCATAACAGAATTTTCATAAAGACATTGCACAACATTTCATAAGGTCTGGACTGATGGCCTAAACCCTTAGCAGAACGACATATTAAACACCTTTTGTACCATTATAACCTCATATATTATCGAGCAAAATACCTTTGAAATATTGTCAGAGTGACCTTAGAATTATTATTACTCTCCTTTAATCCGATTCCAGCCAATGCAATATGCACTCGTGTAAGGAATTTTTCGGATTCCTTACTGGGTCACACTGTACGCGTACAACCCCGACTTTCGGAAAACCAGGCTCGGTCCGCCGACCTCGCCTTCCGAGCCACTACCGCGTCGCTTTCGGGTTTCCCAACCCCGAACCTGCACCCAACCATCTCGCGACCCCGCGACCTCGGCCTAGCTAGCTTCGCTATATTAGTCCTAGGCCTCGTTGTGTTCTCAGATGTTGGAATCACTTCCGCATTATTGAGTTCTGCGCACTCTTCCTTTCACAACTCATAACAAGTCGCCTATGTCTGTAACAGTATTGAGTACAGGCCACGTCGGGAAACCCAGGTGTCAGATCTTCTTGGAAACTGGTGGTGGAGGCTCGCTCTCCTCAACTCTAGGTGTTCGCAAAATCGTATAACGACTGAATGCGACCGCTCTGGTCTGGACTTCTCTCTCAAGCCCAAAACAACAGCCACTCTGGGTCCTACATGCCATCGCAACTGGCCAATCAGCAAAAGAGGTGGTGAAAACTTCGTTGTGGCCAAGCAAGGAGCACCCTCCGTCAATATCGATGCGAAGGGACTCGCCTGCTGCACTGCGGCCCAACATCTAGGCAGAGGCTCCGTCCAACCATTTCTTTGAATCGGGCTGTGAGGAGGTTATTTTGCATCAACTTACGAGGATTTGCGTATCTCTAGAGCTTCGTATAACCCCCCTCTACCACGCCGTTGAAAAGCTTGTGGTAGCCTTAGAAGGTATTGTGTTGCTGCTGCGGTTCCGCCTTTGCTAAAGAGCAGTAAGGGGAAGGTGCTCGGTTTCGCACATTCAGTCATGGCTGAGACTAAGCCCAAGGTTTTCACGTTAGAGGAGGTGTCGAAACACAACACCGAGAAGGATTGCTGGCTGATCGTGTCTGGCAAGGTGAAGTAACGACGCTCAAATCGGTTCCATTATCCATTTTGAATCAGATCTGGATTATATGTTACCGCAGCCGCGTCTATAGATAATCAAGTGGAGTTTGTCACTGTACAGGTCTATGACGTGACTAAGTTTATGGATGATCATCCTGGTGGATCCGATGTCATGGTCTCATCTACCGGTAAGCCCAACCATGTAGATCGTGTTTGCAGACGGATCTTAAAAAAAAAAATCACTAAGTACAGATGTCATCCTATGCTTTTCTCTTATACTTGTCGATGTGCTCGTCTTCAGGCAAAGACGCTACCGATGATTTCGAGGACATTGGCCACAGTAAGACTGCCAGAGACATGCTCGCTCAGTACTACGTCGGTGAGATTGACGAGTCGACGCTACCAGAGAAGCCGAGTAGAAACGGAAGCAGTGGTGGAGGGAGCCAGGAGGGTACGTCAACGTTGAAGCTGTTGCTGCAGTTCTTGATACCCGTGCTGATGGTGGTGCTGGCTCTTGCGGTTAGATCCTACACACAGGTTCCCAAGGTCGAGAGCTAACTTGACATGATACCGTGTCCAATAAAACCATTATAGTCAATCGGTTGCTATGCGACGGAGCCCTACTGTCTGCTCTCAATCTTCTAAATGGTCCAGCTATGCCAATTTTGACGGACGTCCACACATAAACACGCCCTCCGCTTCTCAACACGATCGCAACCAGCTCCACCACCACTCCTTCCTCTCCTCCTTCCCCTCCTCCTCCTCCTCCTCCTCCTCCTCCTCCTCCTCCTCCTCCTCCTCCTCCTCCTCCTCCTCCTCCTCCTCCTCCTCCTCCTCCTCCTCCTCCTCCTCCTCCTCCTCCTCCTCCTCCTCCTCCTCCTCGACTAACCCTCTTCATTCTCCCCCCTCTTTCCTCCTTCCCCCTTCTCTCTTTCTCCCCCCCTGCCCCCCGTTTCCCCTCCCCCTTGTGCCGCCCACCCCATCCTCACCCACCCCCCTCATCGGCCTCCCATCCCGCCCCCACCAACCTCACCTCCCCCCCCCCCCCCCCCCCCCCCTCTCCTCTCTCCCTCGCTCCCTCCCGTTCCCCCACCTAACTCCTCCCCCTTCTGCTGCGTGGACGGCAAATGGCGAGGAGCTAAAGCCTTGGGTTTCTTATTTTAAACAGGTGAAATTACCGTAATCTCACACACGTCCTTTCGTCCCATATGCTATGTAACTCGGCGCACCCTTAATTCCCGTTTTATTGCAAGCGCAACTGCACCTTTACCCAGGGTATGAAGGTACCATACCATGCCAGCCATCATTAACGAGTTCCCTATTTTTTCTCACAATTTTGGAGTCTCAATACACCATAACAAGGCTAAGAAAGCCAAAGCAACTGGACATTCCAGCAGAAACCATATCCCCATCAACTGCCTCATCATACTTTGGTGTAAGTGGGAATGATCACCCGATCCACCCCATGGGCAATGAACCATCGCCCCACATACAGCCCCGGGATGCGAATGGTGGTCCACTGGTCTGCCTTCAAGTACGGCCCCCTAGCAAACGACACAGCGCTGTTGTTTCCCATCGGCGTCATCTTGAAGAGCGGCTGCCTCAGCTGAGTGCCTATCGCTGTCCGCAGCTTCACCTGCCTCATCTGCGGGAGGGTCATTCGGCGGCGCAGGATGTGGAACGCTGTGATGTTGTACAGTGTGGGGATGCTGCTGCTCTTAGCGGGGATTCTCTTAGCGAGGGCTTCTGCCTGCACGTTGTTGGGGATGAGGATGGACGCGTCTCGCAGCGCCGACAGGTCGTACTTGGAGTTCACTGCAGGGGCAGGGCGGGGGGGGGGGGGTGTGCACGGGAAGGAGGCAAGGGAGGGGGCGGGTGGGGGGAATGGAGGGGGATGGAGAGCGGGAAAGAGGGGAGAAGGAAGGCACAGAGAGTAATTTCGGAAACAAAGAGGGGAAAGTGGGGCGTTGGGGGAAGGGGAGGGAACTTGGCCCAGACAAGACGGGAATGAGCACGAAACGGGCAACTTGGTTAGCGAAACAAAGAGGGATTCAAGGTACTTGGCCACGTAGTCGCTGGTGCAAGGGCTTACGTGCGAAGTTGATGTATTTGGTGGCGTCCTGCGCGTATCGCGAGTACTGCGGGTAACGCTTCACGATGCTCTTCGCCATGCTCTGCAGCTCCGCGCGCAGCTGCGCCTTCGTCGGCGGAGGAGGCTGCGCGCAGCTCGTCGGAGCGCACGCCGCCGCCACGCACATGACTGCTACGAGGAGCAAGCCGCCTCCGAGTCGCGACGTCATCTCCGGTAATCGCTTCGAATGTAGAACGCTTTTTCAGGTCTTCCGGAGGGTTGCTACGAGCTTCAGACACGTAACTGGGCCTTGCGGATGGTATCGCCCTTGAAAGTTAAGGGTGTACACGCTGATCGTTGAGTGTGAGATTATTAAGGATGATTCTGAGCTGGATGGTATGGGCTGGTTGGAATTTCTGAGGCGCTCTGTAACAGCTGGTATTATCGTTGTTGAAGTATTTCGTCGTGATGAAAGCTAGGTCGTCGTCGTATTAGGTTGCTGCCAAACCGTTGTGATGTATGTAGGTTCTGACCAAGCCGTATTTATGAGCACACGAGACGCGTAATGCTGGCCGGATCGCTCCTGGCCAGATAGACCCTTCACAGCTCGCCCGTTCCATGTAACGCCCAAAGGGGCACACCGCGACGACGACTCGCCGCCATGGACACGCGAGGAAGCTCAGTCGCCGCCAGCAGCGGTGACATGCGGGGAACCGCTGCGCCATTGCCGCCATATGGCCGCCGTGCCCCGCCGATTCGGCGCGGAACGGCTGGCTAGACAACGCGTCCGCGTATGGAGCGATGATGTTAGGAATAATCGCATACCATCCTTTGATCTACATTTCATTCCATGAGAATAGTGACGTGCGATGTTAGCGGGTGTGAAAGTTCCTACTTGCCAGAGTCACTTGTCGTGAGCTTATGTGAAAGTTCCGTTACTGCGGTAACGAAGGGTGTAGATTCGTTCCAACACGTTGTGAGGGGTTTCAGAAAGCTAACCCAGGGTCTTATCTTTGTGAGCCGATTGCGTTTGACGCGTGTGCGACGACGCCTGTGCGACTGTGCGTGTATGAGGATCCCGTGCGGTTACGCGTGTACGACGACCCCCTTGCGAAGCAGTGATTCGGTGCCATGAGGTACGGGGGATGTTCATCGGACCAGTAGATGTACTGTATGGAGATGCTGGGTGTACTCACAAGTCATAGTGTTCCCTTATATTCTCTTCCCATACCAGTTGCACAACAACATAGGGCACGTCACGCATTTTCTAATTAGCAACCATGGAGGAGGATATCTGTGCTATTTACTTGTGTATGGAACATTATGAAATTTTTGACGGGGTTTAATCAATCATACACTTTAGTGAGCAGAACATTGAATACAATGGAATGTCGGAACGTTTTACATCGTGAGTATCTAGCAGCATGTGTTGTTACAAACTAGTTCACATATGTATGTTGGTTAGTAATAATAACGTCTCCTGCCAAACTTGTGATACTTGGGCAGACCAAAATCTGGGTAAGCTGGGGCAGCAGCAGGTGGGGCAGGCGGTGGTGCAACAAGGGGAAGCGTTTTCTTCTTCTCCAGCATCATCTTGAAGGTCTCCTCTGCCTCTACCTGCTTCCGAACGTCCGCCCCTGCTCCGAGCCTCGCCATCCGGTCCGGGTGATACCGAAGCAGCGCCTTCTTGAAAGATGCTTCAACCTGGCAGGCACGAGGAGTGGGCAACAGGACAAGCAAGCAACGAGTCAGTTGAATGAGTCAGGTGCCAGTTTTTATAGCAACGATCACACTGTTTCCACACGATTATCGAGCGAGGTATTGGGTGAAATATCACTAAAACGATTGAGAAAAGGGCATCCCGAAGAAAAACAAAGTGTGTCTCTCACCTGCTGAGTGGATGGTTGCGGCATGCCATCCACTTTTATCCCGATTTTATCAAGGACTGACGCAAAGTCACGGCACCCTGCCATGCGCTTGGCAAGGTCAGTGTGGACTGATGCTCTCAGCTGCTCCTTTAGACCAGATGCCCTCTCGACCTGAAAGGAGCAAGAAGGGAAGCAGGGAGTCAGGCGAGAGTCAAGCAGGGGAAGGAGCAGACACACCGGCCAGTCAGGTGCTGCAAGGGAACAATTTGCACCTATACTCTCAGCTGCTACCGATCACGGCCTGTTGTTCGCAGTAGCAGGCAAATCAAAGAAAGAAGCAAGAAATAAAGAGAACGGAAAAGAAGGAAGCAGGGATAGATTGGCAGGAGTGGCATGGCAACCAGATAGAAGCAAGAGGCAAGTGGAAACACGTGAGTAGAGCAGCAGGAATGAGTAGCACACGCAGGACTTTCCCTGATTTTTGACAGACAAAGAATGTTGAAGGATGAAGGCCGCCAAGCATAAAGAAGAATGAACAAAGGAAAATGAAGAAGAATGAAGAGGATTCAAGACACTCCCTTCACCTGCTCCTGCTGCTGCCGAACCTCCTCCACTCGCTTCTGCTGCCGAGCCTGCATCCGTTCCAGCCTCTCACGTTCGGCACGCTCCGCCCTCCTCCTTCGCTTCTCAGCCTGAGCCTCCTCCGCCTGCTGCTGCAGCACCTTCTGCCTTTCCCTCCACTCCTCATCCTCCACACTTTGAAACCCCTCACTCTGCCGCATAGCCTCTCTCCCCATCTCCACTGCTGCTCCACCAACGGCTACACCTGTCGTAGCTTCTCCTGTTGTTTCTGCTCCTGCCGTTGCAGCTCCTGCCGTTGCAGCTCCTGCCGTTGCTGCTCCTGCCACTGCTGCTCCTGCCATTGCTTCTCCTATTCTTGCCTTTCCTGCGACAGCTGTTCCTATGGCCCCATTGTGCCCCTCCTTCCTTCCCTCTCCTTCCCTCTCCTTTTGATCTTCTCCCTGTTTCTCCTCTCTTTCCCTTTCTCCATCCTTTCTTTTTTTGGCTTCCTCCCCCCTCTCATGTCTCCTTAGTGCACCATCTCCTTTATCCCCTACCGCAACCTCCCTCTCTCTCTTCTCCGTCTTGTCTACTCCACCCTTCATCCCACCATCCGTCATCCGACCATCCTTCAATCCATCATCCCTCCTTTGCTTCTTTGGCGTTTTGTGCCCTCCATCGGACCCTCCAGTTAGATCTTGAGTCTCTCTTAACCCATTCCGCCTTTCCCTCTTCTCTCCACTCAAACTCCCCTGCCGCTGCTCCTCTTCCTCTGCTGCTCCTGCTGCTGTGCCTCCCTCTCTCTCCACATCCATTTTTGCTGCTGCTGCTGCTGCTGCTGCTGCTTCGACCCAACCCCTGCCTGCTACTCCTACGCAATTCCTCTCTGCTGCTTCAACCCCTCTCCCATCTGCAGCTCCAACCCCTCTCCTGTCCGCTGCTCCTGTAGTGTCTGCAGCTTCTCCTGCTGCTGTCTTTCTCTCAGTTCCTGCTGCGCCCATGCTTGCTCCCGCTTCCCCCCCGATCCTCTCTGCTGCAGCGACAGCCGTTGCCGTATCTGCTGCTTTTGTATTTTGTGCCTTTCTGTAACCAGCTGCTTCTGTCACCCCGTCAACTGCTGCGTACATTCCTTCTGCTGCCCCTTTTGCCGCCCCTTCTCCTGCCCTTTCTGCTGACCCGTCTGCTCCTCTCTTACCTACCACTCTCCGCCCTCCCATCATCCCTTCACCAGAAGCCCGCTGGGCTGCAGACGCTCTGAAAACCCGCGCCTCAAAGCTCCCTTCTGACCCACTGCTGCCACCCCTAACTGCACCACCAGTCCCCCCACCTGCTGCAGCACCCCCACCAGTCCCACCAATCCCACCAATCCCAACAGTCCCACCATCCCCACCCCTCCCCGCACCTCCTGCAGCAGCTGAACGCCCAGCAGCTGCTTCACGCCTGCTCGCCCTAGCCTTAGCAGTGGAGGCGTCTGACTCATCACAGCTTGAAGCTGAGTCAGTGTGACTGGGATCCGAGTCATCAACATCAACTGCATCAAACCTTCCATGCCCACCCTTCCAAACCCCACGCCCTACTCCCCCTCTTCCCGAACCCCATGCACTCTCTGTTCTGCTCCCTGCTCTGCCCTCTGCTCTGCCCTCTGCTCTGCCCTCTGCTCTGCCCTCTGCTCTGCCCTCTGCTCTGCCCTCTGCTCTGCCCTCTGCTCTGCCCTCTGCTCTGCCCTCTGCTCTGCTCTTTGCTCTGCTCCCTGCTCTGCCCCTCTACCTGTAACCTTGACTGCATTTACTCCCTTCACTCCATTGACCCCTTTCACTCCCTTGACTCCCTTGACTCCAAACGAAGCAGCACCAAACAAAGAAGCACCAAACGAAGCACCTCCAAACGAGGCAGCAACAAACGAGGAGAGTTCAGCATGACTGCTGTCCTCAGGGCTGCTAGAGCTGCTACCAGCGAGCTCTTCTTGACCCTTGTCCTCATCGCTGCTAAGACTCTCAGCCTCAACCCACTGCTGCTGCTGGTAGTGCTGATGCTGCTGCTGCTGCCGATGCTGCTGCTGCTGGTGCTGCTGCTGCTGGTTGTGTTGTTGTTGTTGGTGGTGGTGCTGCTGCTGCCGCTGCTGGGAGTGCTGCTGCTGGTGGTGGTGGTGGTGGTGCTGCTGCCGTTGTTGTTGGTGCTGCAGTTGCTGCTGCCACTGCTGCTCCTGTCCCTGCGGTTGCTGCTGCTGCTGCTGCTGCTGCTGCTGCTGCTGTTGCTGCCCTTGCTGTTGCTGCCGCTGCTGCTGCTGCTGCCCCTGCTGCCGCTGCTGCCCCTGCTGCTGTTGCTGCCGCTGCTGCTGCCCCTGCTGCCCCTGCTGCTGTTGCTGCCGCTGCTGCTGCCCCTGCTGCTGTTGCTGCCGCTGCTGCTCCATGTGCCACTGCGCTTGCCTCTTGGCTTGCCTCGCCTTAGCAGCAGCCTCCCACACTCGCCTCATCTCCTCCGCTTCACCAACCACCAAATCCTCCTCGTCCTCTTCCTTCTCTTCTTCCCCACCTGCACCCCGGACAGCACCAGCACCAGCAGCAGCATCAGCAATGGCAGCAAAATCAACAGCGGCATCAGTAGCAGCACCACCAGCAGCAGCCTCCCACACTCGCCTCATCTCCTCCGCATCACCAACCATCACCTCCTCCTCCTCCTCCTCTTCCTCCTCGTACTCGTCTTCCTCCTCCTCCTCTTCTTCCCCTCCTGCATCCCCTTCACCGGCTCCAGCAGCGGCAGCAGCAGCAGCGGCGCCAGCAGGAGTTGCACCAGCAGCAGCAGCACGCAGAGCAGCGGCGTTGGCAGCAGCAGCAGCCTCCCACATACGTCTCATGTCCTCTGCATCGCCACACACCAGATCATCATCATCATCATCCTCTGCCTTTGCTTCTTCATCCTCATCTGCTTCCTCTACAGCAGCAGCAACAGCAACAACAGCACCAGAAGCAGCAAAATTAACAACAGCACCAGAAGCAGCAAAATTAACAACAGCATCAGGAACAGCAGCTTCCCACATGCGCCTCACGTCCTCTGCATCACCACACACCAGATCATCATCATCATCCTCATCCTCCTCCTCCTCTTCCTCCTCTTCCTCCTCTTCCTGTTCATCCATCTCCTCCTCTGCCTCCCTCCCCTTCACTCTCCCCTCCTCTACCTCAACCCCTCCCTCCTCCTCCGCTTCCTCCTCCCCATCCACCCCCCCATACGCCATGGCAAGCAGAGAAGCAAAACAGGCATCAGCACCACTGGTGTCGTTTTCATGCCGACCCACGACGTTAGTAGCACCTTCAATATTGTCACCCTCCATCATGTCACCACCATCATTTGCACCCTCGCCACCTACTTCCTGGAAGCTGCCTTCACTCAGACCTTGTGCCACTGGTCCCAAGAACGTTGTCACTTTTGTTCTCCTGCTTGCTGCTAGGAATGCTGGTGCTGTTATATGTTCACCTGTCATTGCAGTGCCGGCAGTAAAATCAGGAGCAGCCCCCCCAGCAGCAGGATCGGCAGCAACACCAACAGCAGCATAAGGAGCAGAAGCATTGGCAGCAGCCTCAGAGGCAGCACCACGAGCAACAGCATCGGGAGCAGTAGCACAAGCAGTGGCATCAGGAGCAGCAGGATCAGAAGGAGCAACATCAGCAGCAGCAGCAGCACGCAGGGCAGCAGAATCCCACATACGCCTCATGTCCTCTGCATCGCCACACACCAAATCATTCGCTCCCGCTGCTTCCTCTGCTCCCTCTGTTCCCTCAGCTTCCCCTGCTTCCTCTGCTCCCTCTGTTTCCTCTGTTCCCTCTGCTCCCTCTGTTCCCTCTGCTCCCGCTGATTCCCTTCCTCCCTCTGTTCCCTCAGTTCCCTCTGCTTCCTCTGCTCGCTCTGTTCCCTCTGCACCCTTTGATTCCTCTGCTTCCTCTGCTCCTTCCTCCTCCTCTTCCTCCTCCCCCATCTCCTCGTCTCCTTCGTCCACCCCCCCATAGGCCGAGGCAAGAGCAGCAGCTAAAGTAGCAGCAGCATCACTCGAGTCGTCATCATTCTTCTGCCAAGTAGCGACATTAGTAACACCTTCACTATTGTCACCTCTCAAATCTTCATCCTCCGTAATGTCACCTCTAAAGTTGTCATCCTCCATATTGTCACCTTCATTCTTTGCATCACCACCATCCCCATCTCTGAACCCATCTGTCGTTACCCGGGCTGCTGTCAGCACTGTTGATGCTTCTGTACCTGCTCCTCCTCCTTCTCCACCGTCTCCTCCTCTATCTCCTCCCCCTCCCGTTTTTTCCACATCGTCTCCTCCTCCTGAACCTGATGCCTCCGGTGGCTCCTCAACAGCGAATTCATACTCAATCTGCTGCTTAGAATCATCAAGAATCTGAGCAGCATCCGTCCTCTCCTTCACGCAATTCCCCTCGCTTCCCCTCATATCTGCATCATTACTCATCCCTGTTATCCTTTCCTCATTCTCCAACCCTTCACAGCTCATTCCCGAATTCCAACCATTCTCGAACCTTCTAGAAGCCCCCTGACCGTTGTCTACGCCAGCTGCTCCATCTAAACAATCACGTCCGTCCGTTTGACGGGATCTGAACCGCTTGTGCTCCTCTGCTTGAGACTGAAACGTCCTACCGAGCTCCTCTGCTGCAACTGAAATCCTAGCCGTTGGATCTATACAGATTCTTCCTGCTGATCTGCCAATCAGCTCATCTGCTCCTTCCTGTCCACCAACTCCTCGATCCAGATTCACGTTCCTTTCAGCTGCCTTGTCAGATTCCGCTTCGTTACAAGCACGTCTCTCGCGCTGCCTGACAGCTCCTTCGTTATAAACAACGTGTCCATCATTCGGCCAATCATGCTCCGCCGGTTCCTGCGATATTCGATCGTCTAAGCGTCTGCTGCTTCTGCTTGCTGCTATAGGCTGCGACGTTCGAGCATCCAAGCATCTGTCGCTTGTTGCTGCTGTCACTAAACCAGCCTCTGAACTACATCTTAAGTTGGTTACTGCACGAGGTTCTAAACTAGGTCCTAATCCGGTCCGTAAACCACCAGCTACAGTTGAAGCCTCTCGAGCGGACGCCTCTCGCGCTGCAGTTGGGTCTTCGAGTGTTGTGCGGGAGGAAAACACGCGGTGCGCGTTGGTAACACTGACAGAGTTGGTCGGAATACGTGTATTGGGATCACTGTCAAGCATCACTAAATCGTCATCATCCTCCTCTTCTTCCTCTTCAGACTCCACGTATCCCTCCTCCTCTTCCTCCTCTTCATCCTCGTAGCGTACTATAAGAGGGTTACAGTCGCGATTCCGGTCAGCGGGACCGTTGGTCGCCGTCACTTCTTCGTCGAAGTCGTCGTCGCATACTATCACTTCCACCCCCTCGGGAATCCGAGATTTCACGGAGTTGCAAGGCATCAGTGCGAATAATAAATCTGACAGCTCGAGCTCATTCGCAGGAAAACGCGTTGTATTTATCAAATTAAAACTTCGCGGTGGTAGCAAGCCTCGATGGCGCAGTCGGTAGCGCGTAGGTCTCATAGCTGCCCGACTCCCGCACAATGGGACGGAGCCATCCTAAGGTCGTGAGTTCGATCCTCACTCGGGGCAGGTGTTTTGCACAATTGAATGATTTGTTTTACAGCTACAAGTGGTTCACATTGGTGAAGCTAGGTTCCATTATGCATAGCATCAGCAAACAATTTTTAAACAGAGGTGGTAGCTTAAGAAACCCCCTCTTTTTGGCTTTCTAAAACTCATGCTGGATGTAAGGATTTACAATCCTTACTGAGGCACTCGTTAGCGAGGATATCCCGAGGGTCACGCGACGAACCTGTTGGGCCTATTTCGTCGGACCGAACCACCCCCGAGTCGGCCTCCGCTCCAATCGCGGATTTTTTCCCCTATTTAGGCCTCGCTACTTCCATTGTTTCTTCATTCAGTAATTCAGTACTCAATCATTCTCGTTATTCGTTTTACAGCGCACTCTGCAAGTTCATTCATAACACTGGACGAAACATAACGCGTGAGGTGACGTGAGGTGACCGATGTTGTGAGAGGACATTGATATTTGTTACGGGTGCAATGAATCGAGGTAGCGAGGATTGCACTAAGGTGTCAAACGAGTACAAAATGTGAGCGAAGGCATGAGCGAACATTTATACGCGAAACATGCAAAACGGTAACGCGGTGCGTGCGAGCTTGCTAGTGCTACGCTGGAGCGAGGCTCGGGCTAGTCCCGAAGCGTAGGCCGATACGGCCATGCCAGCAGTGCGAGGTTTGGTAAAACAGTGCGCGCGAAGTCGGCGAAGTTCCGTTAGCAGGAACGGGCGAACAATCGGCTGTTGCTGTACGCGATGTAGTCGGCGCCGTAAGGAATGCCGAGAAAATTCCTTACACTACCCCCCCCCTCAAGAAGCCCCCTCCGCTACGCGAGTGCGTGTATATCGCGGAATCCCCGGCTCCTCAGGTACACTTGCAGGGCAGGGTGATTGTCGATGTTGCTCAGGGGCACCCAGCTATCTTCAGTTGGCGTGCGGTCTTTCCAGCGAACGAGGAATTCAATCCTCCTGATTCCCGTGGGGTGGCGGATCCGATGGCTCAGAATTTTTTCGGGCTCGATGATCGGCTCTGATGCGGGGCGAGTCATTGATTGTGGCCGGTGACGCGGCAGTTGACTTGTGGTCGGGATGTATGGGCGAAGTAGGCTGACGTGGAACGAAGGGCTGATGTACCAGTCGGTTGGCAATAGTAGGTGTGCGGTGACGGGTGTGATCATGTGACTGATTTGGAATGGTCCACAGTAGCGTGGTCGTAATTTTGGTACGTCGGGCAGTCGCAGATTTTGCGTGTCGAGTAGCACGTAATCTCCAGATTGATACGTGACGGGGCGGCGGTGGCGATCAGCGTTGCGCTTAGCGATGACGTTGGCCTTTTTTATTGCTTCGGCAGCTCTGGCGCGGGCAGCTTGCAGGATTTCGGCGAATTGTTGTGCGCGTGGCGTTGGGTTGTCCGGACTCGGCGTCATGGGCACTGTGGGGTTCTGCCCATAGTTCAGGTAGAACGGGGACTGCTGCGTCGTGGCTGATGTGGCGTTGTTGTACGCGAACTCGATCAGCGGCAGCTGCTGCTCCCAGGTCGTGGGGTCGTCGCACGTGGCACGAATCAACTGCTCCATCGTCTGATTCGTCCGCTCCGTTTGGCCGTCGGTCTCGGGGTGGTACGACGAACTGAACTGTAGCCTGATCCCGAACTGCTCCCAGAGGTTCTTCCAGAAGTTGCTGGTAAATTTCGTGTCCCTGTCGCTGAAAAATTCCTGCTGGTATCCCGTGCAGGCGAACAACGGCTGCGATGAACAGGCGAGCGGTTTCCTCGGCTGAGATCGACTTTTTGCACGCAGCGAAGTGTGCCATCTTCGTCAGCCTATCCACGACGACCATCACCGCGTCGTTACTCCCAGGGTTCGAAGGTAACCCTGTGACGAAGTCCATGGTTACTTGCTGCCAGGCGCGTTCGGGCGGTGGGATCGGCTGCAATTGACCCGCCTTCCGCTTCCTTGAACTCTTCATCACCTGACACGTCGGGCACGAGCCCACGTGCTGCTGTACGTCGGTCAACAGTTCCGGCCAGTAATAGTACCACTGCAGTTGCTGTCGCGTTTTTTCTACCCCAAAATGTCCCGAGGTAATCCCGTCGTGTGCCTCCTGTAGTAGCAGCTCCCTCAGTAGTGAGTACGCGGGTACCCAAATGCGGTTGGTGCCTGTTTTTACGTAATAGACTCCTTTTGCTTCTGCCAGTTGCTGGGAATTTCCGGTCGTGAAAAATGGGTCGGTGCGGTATCCGTGGGTGAATAGGCCAGTTAAAAGCGGGTTGGTCTGGGCGAGTAGGATGGCATGGAGTTGGGCGGTGGGGCGGGTGAGAGCGTCGGCGATGTTGGATGCACCCTTTTTGTACGTAACGGTGTAGTGAAAATTGGACTCGAGATAGTCCAACCAGCGAATCTGTCGTGGGTTGAGATTCGGTTGGGTGCGAAGATACTGTAGCGAGCGGTGGTCTGTCCGTACTGTCACGTCGGCGCCAGTCAGGTAACATCGCCAAACTTTGAACGCGTGCACGATCGCTAGCATTTCGCGGTCGTGTATCGGGTAGTTACGTTCGGGCGGGTGTAACTTGCGGGACTCGTACGCGATTGGCTGGAGGCCGTTCCCGAAATCCTGCAACAGTACTGCTCCCACAGCGATGTCACTTGCGTCGGTGACGAGCTCGAACGGACGGTGGGGATCTGCAATGTGAAGGACGGGCGGGGAGCACAAAATAGTTTTGAGGGCCGAGAAGGCAGCTTGCTCTTTCTCCCCCCACGTGTACTCAACCCCCTTCCTCAGCAGGTCAGTCAACGGGGCAGTCAGCTTCGCCATGTCGGGGACGAACCGGCGCACGTAGTTGACGAACCCCAGGAAACTCTGCAACTCGGTCAAGTTGGTCGGCGCGTGCCAAGCCTGAATCGTTGCAATTTTCTTCGGGTCTATTTCCACTCCTGCAGCTGAAATAACATGTCCCAAAAACTCCAGGCAGTCCTGTAAAAACTCACACTTAGATGCTTTGGTCAGTAGGCGGTTCTCACTCAGGATTTTAAAGACTGCTTCGATGTCTTGTAAGTGCTGTGCTCTGTCAGGGCTGTAAATCAGTATGTCGTCCAGATAAACGATGACGCACTTATCTAAAAGCGGGCGAAATGCTTCGTTCATGGTCATTTGGAAAGTGGCGGGGGCGTTGGTCAGTCCGAATGGCATGACAGTGTATTCGAAGGATCCGTAGCGTGTTCGGAATGCGGCTTTAGGGCAGTCGGGTGGGTTGACGCGGATTTGGTGGTAGCCTCCCCGGAGGTCAATTTTCGAGAAAACCCGGGCTGTGCGCAGTTGGTCGATCAGTTCGTCGGCTCGTGGGATGGGGTAACGAGATTTGATGGTAACTCTGTTCAGTGCCCTGTAGTCGATACACATGCGAAAACCCCCGTCCTTTTTCGGTGTGAACAGTATGGGTGCGGCGAAGGGCGACGAACTAGGGCGAATGAATTCCTTCTCGAGCAGGTAATCGAGTTGCTTCCTCCGTTCGTCTAACTCGGGTTGGGTCAGTCGGAACTGTCGCTGTACTGTTGGCTGTGCCCCCGGTTCCAGTTCTATCCTGTGATCGTGCGGTCGCTGAGGTGGCAGTCCCGTCGGCAGGTCGTCCGGGAAAATGTCACTGTACTGTTTTAACAGTGCCGCCAGGTCACTCGGTACGTCGGTCAGCAGTTTCTGTAAATCGCCTCCCTTGTCTACTGCCTCGGCTTCCCGAATGTCAACCGCGTACACGTCAGCTCCGGCCGCTACAGCGCGTTTCATCGTGATCGCATTGACACGCACCGACGAAGACTCAGGCGAGCCCCAGCGAGGTAAGGCGATGTTGTTACCGTTTACTCGCACGGTGCAGTCACCCGTCGTCCAGTCAATTCGCGGATTGTGTCGTCGCAGCCAATCACGCCCGAGTAAAATGTCGGTTCCGTCGAGGGTCGTCGCGAGCATTTCCTGACTAAACGTGAAGTTACCCCCGCATCGAATCCGAACTCGGTCTACGCGTTCCCGTATTGCCAGCGGCGTGCCGTCTACCACTCGTGCGTCGATCTCAGGTAAGCATCGGTCCAGTGGCAGTCGCAGTTTTCGTGCTGTAGCAGTGTTAATGAGGCTGTGGCTGGCTCCCCCGTCTACGAAGATTTTAACTAAGTCCGTCCCAATTTTCCCACTGAGCAGTATAGGGCTGTCTACCGTGGTACCCTCCTTATTCGGCCGGGTGTGGTCGATTGCGTGAACCGGCACAATCACTCGGTGAGGGTCGGTTGGGTCGGGCGAGCGGCGTGACCTGTCAGTAGAGGGCCCGTCTGCTACTGACTTCCAGCGTTTCCCTGCTGCTTGGTCTGTGTCTGCTGCTCAGCTTCCCCCTTTCCCTTAGCGTTTTCCGGGCATTCGCTCTTGCGATGTCCCGGCCGATTGCACGCAAAGGTGCGCCCTTTGAACGGTGCGGCAGCGGCATTTGCGGCGACGGCGCGTATCGTGGCGCTTTCGTTCGTCCCACGAGGCCGATGTCCCCAGGTGTTGTTTCCGTAGGACCCCGGTCTCGGTCGGCGAAAGAAGTCGAGCTTCTCCGCCATAGCGAGAATTTCCTGAAACTCAGTGACGCCGCGAAGCTGGATTTCCTGAGCGATGTCCTGCTTCAGGCCGCCGATGTAGCGGTCGATGCGTTCGCTCTCATGCATGTAGCCCACCTGCTCGCATAGCGCCAGAAATCCGCTCGTGTAATCCTGGACGGAACCGAGTTGGCGCCAAGTGCGGAGCTTCTGTCGCGCCGAGATCGAGGCCGCGATTGGCTCAAATCGAGCGCGCAGACCTGCGCACCACGCGTCTCACGTGCGATACTGGGGCACCTCCACGAAATACGACGGCGCCCAGGGTCTGGTTTGTCCTTCCCGTGTCGGTAGTGTCGCGTAGTCGGTCGGCTTCGTGACGATGACGCGCCACCAGTCCATGGCGGGTCCTCGCAGCAACGACACGGCGTATCGAATCTTCGCCGAGTCCTCCGAGACGTAGTTGGCGTCGAAGAAAACATTCATTGTGAATAACCACGCCTGAACGGTAGGACCACCCCGTTGACTCGGGTCAAAGCATGGCGGGCGCTGCGGCTTCAGCGGCATCGGGGACGGCAGTCCCGAATCGTGGGTTGGTGCCGAAATCGTGACGCGAGGCTGACTTGGGGCCGCAGGCGTCGCTCTGGGGTGTGTCGTGCCGTGGTCGTCGTCTCCGTCGGGGCGGACGACGCCATCACTGGCCGCGCTTGCGGGTTGCCCCACACTCCCGTGTTGTGATGTTGAGGGTGCGGGTTGAATCGGAGTGCCAGGTGCTTGAGATTGTGCTCTCAGGAGGTCATTTTGCAGTGATGAGCGTTCTGCCGTCAATGCCGCGATTTCCTCGGAGCTTTCGTGCAGTTGTCGCAGCAGATCGTTCAAACGCTCCTGCGTGAGAGTGGTGACGTCTATGTGTTCGGCCATGACGAAGGGCGTCGGCTCGTCTTAGTCTAGGCGCAGTCGTGGCTGCACGCGTTTACGAGAGAACGCGAGGACAGCGGCTCCTAGGGGCTAAGGTGCGTGAGTCCCTTCGAGTGAAAAAATCAAAAGTTGATTTCCTGGTGTGCGGAGATGCGCGGTCCGAAAGAAAGGGGCTCTGATAACCAAGTGTTACGGGTGCAATGAATCGAGGTAGCGAGGATTGCACTAAGGTGTCAAACGAGTACAAAATGTGAGCGAAGGCATGAGCGAACATTTATACGCGAAACATGTAAAACGGTAACGCGGTGCGTGCGAGCTTGCTAGTGCTACGCTGGAGCGAGGCTCGGGCTAGTCCCGAAGCGTAGGCCGATACGGCCATGCCAGCAGTGCGAGGTTTGGTAAAACAGTGCGCGCGAAGTCGGCGAAGTTCCGTTAGCAGGAACGGGCGAACAATCGGCTGTTGCTGTACGCGATGTAGTCGGCGCCGTAAGGAATGCCGAGAAAATTCCTTACAATATTGCACTTGGTATACCGAGAATATGAAAAAGGTACACTCTGACTTGAGGGCGCACCCAGCACTTGCATCTGACAGCCCGCCTGACCTTCCCCGCACCTCGAAGCACCGAATGACTGGGTCGCAAGTAGGTCGTCGCATACTCGCACATGCATTAGTCGCACACGCGTCAAACGCAACTCACGTTCATCCTAGCCATCGGAGAGAATTTCTCCAGTGGCCAATCGGGTGATTCATTCTCTCTCGGGGGGCCTCGATTTACTCGAGTGGCCACGAAATTGGGTGATAATTACTCGAGTGGCCATGCCAGGGGATTCCTGCTCGCTTTTTTTTCACCGGCGAACTACCCTCTGGGGATTTGTAGCCCCGAAATTCCTTATTCGTGCGAGTGGTATTCCTAGGTAGTGTTCCGTTCTGTTCCGCAACTTAAAATTTCGCCAGGCTCACGGACGCGAAAGTGGCCCGCCCACTGTACAAGAAACTGACCAACAGTACATTGACCGGTCAGTTTCGGCCAAATGCGCGACCAATGAGCGCACGGTCCATCTAATTCCGAACGAATCAGCGATCGAGCATATAACTTCTCGATCATATAATCCTAAAGACCCGAAGCGAACAGCCACACCCCTAATGCACGCGCATGATTCGTAAAAAACATGCGCGGTGCATATGTTGCCATTGAGCGTCCAATCAGGCGCCATCATTGAATTCCCCATCATATACCGAAATGATCGGCCATAAATTCGCGATAAACTAAATTACCGCGCGTGATTGGTTTGTTTTAATCTCAGGATATGCTTTGCCATTGAGCGTCCAATTATCCCCGTCCAAATGAAATGGCAACCATATATAAAATAGGACCGCGGACTAACAAATATTAGTGCGTATATGATTTGTCCAAGTTTGTGTGCTTAGGGTGCATATAAAACATACTCTTAAATCCCATACAGCCATATAGTAAATTGGGTTTAATGAACGTATTCAAATATGATCGGCAATCGGTAAATCTTGCGCCTGATTAGACGCGCAGTGGCAACAAATGCACCACTCTATCTTCTGACCAATCGAGCGCGGTCGTTTTGCTGTGCCGGTTCGTTTCGGGTGAAATGCAGTATATGATCGCGAAGTCATATACTCGATCGCTGATTGGATGTTAATTAGATGGACCGCGCGCTCATTGGTCGCGCATTTGGCCGAAACTGACCGGTCAATGTACTGCTGGTCGGTTTCTTGTACAGTGGGCGGGCCACTTTCGCGTCCGTGAGCCTGGCGAAATTTTAAGGTACGGAACACCACCTAGGGTTACCACTCGCACGAAAATGGAATTTCGGGGCTACAAAGACCCGTAGGGTAATGCGCCGGTGAAAAAAAAGCGAGCAGGAATCCCCTGGCGTGGCCACTCGAGTAATTATCACCCAATTTCGTGGCCACTCGAGTAATTCGAGGCCCCCCGAGAGAGGATGAATCACCCGAATGGCCACTGGAGAAATTCTCTCTAGCCATTGGCTCACGAATCATCAGCATTCGCTTCCTCTGAAAACCCTGCGTAACCGTTCATTGTTGCCAACTATCCTTCTTATACCTTTTTGAAAACCTTCTGAACCGTAGTTCTGGAACTTTCTTCTGTTGTCGAGGAACTTTCACACTAGCTCACAAGCATATTCTCAACTCAAACCAGTCGTCGTCGTGTCTATTAGAGGAAATCACGCTGGTAGAATAAAGGGCGGTTCGCGTCTCTTCTTGTCAGTATCGCACCATGCGCTTACGCGTTATTCAGCAAGTCGTTCCGCGCCGAATCGGCGCGACACGGCGGCTGTGTGGCGGCAATGGCTCAGCGATTTCCTCGCATATCGCCGCGGGACGGCTGTTGGCGGCGACTCAGCTTCCTCGCGTGTTCGTGCAGCTTTAGGCGTTACATGGAACGGTCGAACTGCAAGGGTCTATCTGGCCAGGAGCGATCCGGCGAGCATGCCATACCTCTCGTGTACCTACTACTAATACGGCTTGGTTAGAACCTGCATACATCACAACCGTTAAGCAACAACCTAATACGACGACGACCTAGTTCTCAGCACGACGAACAATTCCAAAGACGATACTACCAGCTGTTATAGAGCGCTTCGGACATTTCAACGAGGCCATACCATCCCGCTCAGGATCATTCTCTTAAATCTCTCATACTCAACGATCAGCGTGTACACCCTTAACTCTCAAGGGCGAAGCCATCCGCAAGGCCCAGTTACGTGTCTGAAGCTCGTAGCAATTACCGGAAATGGCGACTCGACTCGGAGGTGGCTTGCTCCTCGTAGCAGTCATGTGCGTGGCGGCGGCATGCGTTCCGACAAGCTGCGCGCAGCCTCCTCCGCCGACCAAGGCGCAGCTGCGCGCGGAGCTGCAGAGCATGGCGAAGAGCATCGTGAAGCGGTACCCGCAGTACTCGCGATACGCGCAGGACGCCACCAAATACATCAACTTCGCACGTAAGCCCTTGCACCAGCGACTATGTGGCCAGTTATTCTGAATCACCTGCCTTTTCTTTGGTGCTTTGGTAACAACGTTGCCCGTTCCGTGTTCGTTCCCTAGTGACTAGACCTAGCTGACCACATTCCTGCATCCCTTGTACACCAAAATTCTCCTTTTTGTTTCTGAAATCAATCACAGATTTTTCCTTCTCCCCTCTTTCCCCCTTTCCATCCCCTCTTCAACCCCCTCCTTTCCCTTCCCCTCCCCCCACTCCCCCTTGCTTTTCCCCTGCAGTGAACTCCAAGTACGACCTGTCGGCGCTGCGAGACGCGTCCATCCTCATCCCCAACAACGTGCACGCAGACGCCCTCGCTAAGAGAATCCCCGCTAAGAGCAGCAGCATCCCCACACTGTACAACATCACAGCGTTCCACATCCTGCGCCGACGAATGACCCTCCCGCAGATGAGGCAGGTGAAGCTGCGGACGGCCATAGGCACTCAGCTGAGGCAGCCGCTCTTCAAGATGACGCCGATGGGAAACAACAGCGCTGTGTCGTTTGCTAGGGGGCCGTACTTGAAGGCAGACCAGTGGACCACCATTCGCATCCCCGGGCTGTATGTGGGGCGATGGTTCATTGCCCATGGGGTGGATCGAGTGATCATCCCTACACACACCAAAGTATGATAAAGTAGCTGCGGAGATAGGAGGAAGCAAGGGCTACAGTGGGACATGCCTATGCATGCTGTGCTGCAGCAGGCATGCATGTAGTAAATTTTGATGGATCATTGCTCATCCCGACTCACACCAAGATATGATGCAGCAGTTGAGGAGGATAGGAGAATGGAACCAGCTTGTTTAGATGTTTCAAAAGCCTACTGCCAGCTTTCTGTAATGAGATTAATACTTGCAATGGGACATGTTTGGTTGGTACTCATAAGCCTCAGGTAGAGTAAGACTTCCAATATAGAAGTTAGCCTTGTAATAAGGACACAACAACTGCGGTAGGAAGAAACTAACTAGCGATTATAATGTTGACACTAATACGGCGCCATTTACAAGTCTGCTTTCCAAGACATGCCCATCAGCGACGGGGTGAACGAGAACGACGAGGTGAGCGAGAACGACGAGGGGACCTGCTAACGCTTCGACTCCTGCTGCGGCTTCTGCTGGGAGTGCGGCTGCGACCACGGCGGGGTGGTGAACGGCTGCAAAGCAACACACACAATGCAGTAAGTTGCGCAGGGGGTTGAACATAAGCACACCCACACGTGCACATAAGCATTTTGGCTCCTTGACTATACCCCGCGTTGGACAGAATTTACACATGTCAGCAACTTTACACACCTTCCATAGCGCCCATACTCTGGGCTGCCCCTGCGCCTGCCATAGTCAGGGCTGCCACGGCGCGCAGTCCTGTCATCGTCAAAGCTGTCCTCTCTGGCAGCAAATTCTACAGTAATTTGACGACCATCAACCGAGCTGCACTCCACAGGAATTGTGAAAGGTAAGTACGGCAAGAAGGTGCAGAGCAAGAGTTTGAACCACTCGGAGTAGAGGCAACACAGAGGAAAGGAGCAGCACAAACGCAAGTTTCTGCAGGGATATCGTGAGACATACCTTCCATCAGTTCCTTTAAACCGCTGCTTCAGCCTCCTCAATCGTCTCATATTGCACAAACGCAAAGTTCTTGCGAATCTGGACCCGAACCAGTTTGCCATATGGTTCGAAATGCCTCTCCAAGTCCCGTGTTCGGGTATTGATGGGGTCAAAATTCACAACGAATAGAGTTTTCGAAGGCTTGGAGTTCCTACGCTCTACCTCCCTTTGCTTCACAGGACCTTCCCCCTGCGAAGAACAAACGGAAGCCGGCCGTATGGGAAGTTAGTATACAGAGCCACAGAAGGACAAGTACGGCGGAAATTGACAGGCAATGGCATCCATGCTCACCCTTGCCCATTCAACGCGAAGGCGTCGGCGCTGCCTACCGAACTCCATACCGTCCAAAGCCCGGATGGCATCATCACCGTCGCGCTCATCATCCATGTAGACAAACGCGAAGCCTGCGTGACAGATGGCAAGGGAACATGAAGAAATCAAAGGAACAAGAACATTCGGCTGTTAAAAATAGACGCGGATTGCAATATTTGAAGATGATGGAAGAAGTAAGCAAACCGACACGATAAATTGCTGAGAAAAAAAGAAAAAAAAAAGAAAAAAAAAGAGACGATACGCAAGAAAACAACACATGGATATTTATAGCCAGCACGCACACCCGGTATAAGACAGATGTGCTAGTTGACCGTGTGAACGATGACAGGCTCTGGGCATTTGTCCTCTGCCTAGGTTGGACTTTGAACGAGATGCCGGTTGTCATAACGAGTCGAGTTGAGCAAGCTTGAATCGGATAGACACGACGGGTGATGCGTAGACGAGCAGCGGAAAGCTGGCGCCATTGTTGTCTAAACTGGTCTCTGTCGACCGCGAGAGCCAGCGCGAGCGAGCGTGCATCCAGCGCGTGAAGAGCATCCAGAGCCAGAGGCTGAAATGGCTCATCACGTTGTACTTGCTGCGATGCCATGAGTCGGACGTCTCATGTTGTGTGTTCGGAATTTTATGTTGTCAGCAGAGACTGCTAACTGCTGGGTAAAGGCAATGTCCAGACGCGTGTCCGGTTCGTTGTTCCCATGAACCTGCAATTTAACTCTGAGTCGCAAACAAACTCTTCCGTGAGTGGTGCTAAAAATGAGATGTGAGCAGGAAAATAGATTATCATACCAGTCTTCATGTCTACTCGAGAAATCCGACCGTAACGGTCGAACAGCCGCTCGATCTCCGATTGCCGAGCCTCATACTCGAAGTTCCCGCAGTAAACAGCTCGAGACATGGTTTCTGGACCAGGCCACTAGCAGGTAATCTTAGATTGCAAAAAAGCAGCACGGTGAGCAGTTGCTCCTACAACGCGGCGTCTCAAGTGAAAGCCCTCGGACTCAAATAGCCGTGAGATTATTCCTGGACTCCTCCCAACAGCTCTCAAAATTGTGTATCCCCTGAAATGATCGTACCCTGATTGACTTCTGGAGAGTCCCGTCCCGTATGGCATTGACTGAGCAGATGCTGGGGTTTTCAAGCTTCCACTCTTGCTGGGTTGTTTTGCTGGTCCTCTCGTCAGCATTTCGAAGGTTTCACTTTTCACTTCGAAATCGCTCCAAGGAGTGTTTCGTATCTGTTCTAGCGATCGAAATCGCCCAATTCGTAATGACCTGGACGATGATTCTCGCGGAAATCGAGGGATTTGAAATGTGTTCCGAATTGTACCAAGGACGATTTCTGCCACTCGTGCTACAAATGCTACTTAGGAATACGACCTTGAAGAAGCCAGTTCACTCTAGCGGCAAACGAATCAAGCTTGTTTCGGATACGTTCTGAATCAATTCAGGGGGAGCTGCTTCTCCCAGCAACCCTAATGTTTCCTCCACCATCACCACCGCCATCCACCACTTCCACTTCCTCCATTCCACATCATTCAGCACCGCGATTCACGGCTTCAGCATCCGCTCGACTCGCAAATCTCCGCGAGTACCGTGATCCGAGCGCTTTGCGATCGAGTGCATTGACTGCGCGCGATCGCTCTCTTTTCGCGATTTGACTTCGATCCTAACTGAGGCATATCTTCTATCAGCGATCATGGCGGGAGGGCACGGCAACGGACACGGTATCACCCATGGCGGCCTGACGCTGCACCCGGCGGCACGCTGGCATAAGGTCGTCGGTACCGGCATGTGCGCGATGATGTGGTATGTCTTGATCTCAGCGCTCGCTGTCTGGTAACCCTGTCTGTTAACCCCGTATGGTGACCATGTCTTGTAACCCGCTCTGGTCGTCGGCACTGGCATGTGCGCGATGATGTGGTCCGGCTTGATTCAGCGCTCCCAGTCTGGGAACTCAGGTTGTTATTCTTGTCCGATAACCATGTCTGGTGACCCCGGACAGTAACCCTTTCCGGTAACCCTATACTTTAGCCATTTCTGGTACCTTCTTCTGGTAACCATTTCTACGATTCATGTCAGCACTCCTTGTTTAGTAACCATTCTGGTAACCCTGTACGGTAACCAATTCTGGTAGTCAGTCTGTTACCCCTGTCCGATGGCTGAATGCAATCACGAATATTATTAGATAATGGCAACTCTATTTTCGTTGCACCTGTGGACCTTTTCCGGATTCTTTGCAACAAAAACTATCTACACTCACGAGTCAGTATCCAGCAAGCAGTTTTGACGCTACATGTGTATGACTGCCGTGTGTGCAGGTTCTGGATTCTCTACCGCGCCAAGGAGGAAGGGACAGTAGACTTTTGAGTCGACTGAAAAGTTACTTCGTCCCATGTGTGTGTCCCTGCCGTTTGTGCAGGTTCTGGATTCTGTACCGCGCCAAGGAGGAAGGGCCCCTAGACGTTTGAGTCTACTAAAAAGTTACTGTCATTCCATGTGTGTGTCTCTGCTGTTTGTGCAGGTTCTGGATTCTCTACCGCGCCAAGGAGGATGGGCCAGTAGACCTTTGAGTCGACTGAAAAGTTGCTGTCGTCCCATTTGTGTGTCTCTGTGTTTGTGCAGGTTCTGGATTCTCTACCGCGCCAAGGAGGACGGCCCAGTAGTGCTGGTGAGCCGAGCTCTCACCCCTCCTCCCTCTGACCTACCCCACTCCCACCTTCCGAATTATTCGAAGACTTTGGTTTGATCCTGTTACCAAGTCAACCCCCTCTCCTCCATCGCTTCATGCCCCATGCCTCTTTTCCATCTTTGTAACAGATTGTTGCGTGGGATTTATTTTACCCATTGTGTATAAAATTCCTTTCCGTCCGCAGGGCTGGCGCCACCCGTGGGAGGGTCATGGTCACGGACATGGACACGGGCATGGACATGGGCATGGGCATGCTGAGGCACATGGGGAGGGACATGCTCCTGCAGCAGCAGCGGCAAGCTCTGCTGCGAGCCATGTGAGTTGATGGCATGCTCTTGAGTCTACTCATAGACATGGTCATGGTCATGGGCGTGGGCATGGTGAGGCACATGGGGAAGGACATGCTCCCGCAGCAGCAGCACCGACTGGATCTATCTCTGCTGCGAGCTATGTGAGTTGATGGAGTGATTCATTGGAGTGAGTTCATGGCACGCTTTTCTGTCGAATAAAAATCAGGGGCATGGTCATGGTGATGCTGATGCACATGGCGAGAGGCACGCAGAGGGGATGCCCAGCAGCAGCAGTTGCAAATGGATATAGCTCTGCTGCCAGCCATGTGATTTGATTGCATGCTTGCTCACAGCTCCCCCCGTGTGTGCTTGTAACACAATGCTTTTACAGTATGCCCGTTTTCTCACTTCGTGTGTGCTTCTACTAGCAGAAACCTTGTCAAAAATTCTTGCGCTTATGTTTGCCGTTTGTGTTGCTACATGATTGCTACAAATCCCGGTTCTATCATTACATGATTTCTGGACCCATTACTTCCTAACCCTCTGGTGAACCCCTTGTTCCAGTAACTCATGATGCGGCAAGACATTGTCAGCACGTCAATAGATACCATATTATAGCTTGCATCATTCAACACTTGCAAGAGTTGCGCAGCTGTACTGTACTGTGATCCCTTTACAAGGAACGGAAGGCTCCTCAATGGTTGTAAATCAATCATG